AACAGCTTCATGTCCCTGCTGAAGAACCCAGAGTAAGGCAGGGGCTAAACTGATATCAAGTCTATATCCTCCGCCTTGTGGTCTGAGGGTCTCTCTGTGCCACCACCATCCCCCCCCCTCCCGTACCCCCTCCTTCCCTCTGGCTTAATCCTGAATGTATGTCCTCAACTTGGAGAAGAACTCAGGGGAAAGGAAGAAGCTGTTTGCCCTGAATACATTCCTCCCACACACTCGTTTTTCCTCCTTTGAAGCAGCAGCCGCTGCCAACGCAGGATCCCCCCGGGCCTCGCAGACGAAGGCGGAGATGAGAAGACAGAAATCCTTCCTGCAAAGGACCCTGCGCATGTTTTTCACTCTAAACTCATTCCTTCATTAGTGACGCTTTTCAGACACCCCTGAAACCTCAAGGCAAGAACAGGAATGCACCGCGCTCTAGGAGCTGTCCGTGGTCCCTAATTAGCTGCCCAGGGCCAACCCAGGGGGAGTCTGGTGATTGGACGCACAGCCAGCCGCCTTCTTCTAACTCCTTTTATTTGAACTCATCCTTCCCCTCGCCTGCTGCCTTCCCTTCTGCCTTCCCTCCGTTCTTAGAGACAGACTTCAGTAGCCAAAGGCAAGAGGAAGAGCAGGCTGCTTCCACATTTATTTGAGGTGTTGATGACCCGAGGCTCATCAAGAAAACAGAGAACAAGAGCTGGAGGCAGTGCTTCTAGGCTTAGACCCCATCTGCTTGCAGTCTAGCTCTGACACCCGCAAGGAAAAGCATTCTTAGCCATAAGCAGAATGTTTCCATATTTTGCACAGACATATACATCCATCAGGCACACACAAAAACACACATGCAACGTGCACTGTATTACACTGGCCCGTTCTGCAAAGCATAGGGCGATAGTGTAATTTTGCACTGAGAATGGTCTCCTTTTTAAACTGAGGTCAGGTCATGAGCAAAACAGGGACATGTTGATTTAGCCATTACGTCAATAAATGTTTATCGAGAACCTACTACTAGTATGTGCCAGGCACTCTCCTAGCTATTGAGGGCACCCCAGGGAACCGGCCAGGCGAGGTCCCCGCCTGCATGAAGCTGTATGCCTAGAGGAGGAGACAAAGGGTGAACAAGATGAGGAGATGACCGATACAGATTGCTAACTTGTCATTCCCTGAGTCAGCTGACCTGTGCTTGGAAAATAAGAGTAAGGCAGCCAGGTGCAGTGTGAAGCAGCCAGATGAAAGGAGGAGAGATTGGACAATGGTGTGGTCAGCAGAGACCTTCTGCGAAGGGGATCCTGGAATTCAAACAGAACGGATGTGAGAAGATATTGGGGAGACTGGAATGCCCCCCAGAGAGGAGCAAACCCAGAGGCCCTGAGCTGGGAAATTATCTTGCATCGGTGAGAAGCCACCTTGGCTCCAGAGAAGAGTAGTAAGAAGTGAAGTCAGATTAATACGAGAAGGCCAGACTACGTAGAACCTTCCAGTTCGTGCTAAATAGTTATACTCTTACCAAGAGTGAGATGGGATTTGTTAAAGAGTTTTAAGCAGAGAAATGACATGATCTGACTTACATTGTAACAGAACCACTCGGATGGGGGGTAAGGGGGGGGTAGTAAAAACAGACTGAAGTGACACAAGGTCAGTAACCGGCGGCTTCTGCAATAAGCCAGGTGAGAGAGGATGGTGACTTGGAGTAGCATGGTGGCAGTGGAGGTGGGAGGAAGTGGTGAAAAGCAGCGACTAGAAGACCTACTGATGGAATAAGTAAGAGATACACAATTTTATTTTATTTTCATTTTTATTGAATTGATTGGGGTGACACTGGTTAACAATATTATATAGGTTCCAGGCACACAATTCTACAGCACATCATCTGTGCACTGTGCGGCGTGTTCACCACCACAAGTCAAGTCTCCTTCCATCACCATTATCCCCTCTATACCCTCCTGAACTACCTCCTTCTCCTTGGCAATCAGCACCCAGGAGTTTTTTCTTTTTCTTTTCTGTTTTGCTCAACCCCTCCACCAAGATGTAATTTTTTTTAAAGGAAAAGTTAAGGTTGAAACTTAACCTTTTGGCCTGAGCAACTAAACCTTGGTGTTGAAATAGGGAAGATTACATAGGAATGACTGCATGTACATGGTTTTGGTTTTTGTTTATTTCTTTGGGGGTTTGTTTTGCTTGCTAGAGGTGGGGAAGGCATCCTAGGAGCTCAGGTTTTTTTTTAACGTGTTCAATTTAAGATGTCTATTAAACATCCAAGCTGGGATGTCAAGTCGATAATTGGATGTACAGGTCTGGATTGATAGAACAGGTCTGAGAGGAAGAAATGAATTTAAAAGTCATTAGCATATAGATGAGGAAAAATCAACAAAAGAGTTTGAGAAAGATGGGTCAGAAAGTCGGGGTGGCGGGGGGAGGGGGGAAGAACTAAGTGAATGTGGTGTCCTCGAAGCCAAGTGAAGGAATTATTCTGAGGAGGAGAAATAAAAGTCTGATGAATACTGCCCATAGGTCAAGAACGTTGAAGACTGGGAACTGACTGCTATAAAGTCAGTCATGTGGGTTGCTGGCAGCCTTGACAAAAGTAGTATCGATTGGTGGAGTAGAGAAGTGTTGACAAAAACCTTGACTAGGAGGAGAAAAACCGAAGATGGTGAGCACGGACAACTCTTTCCAGAAGGTCTGCTCTGAAGAGACAATAGAGGAAGAGGCGTCCCTGACGTCACTTTGGTTCAACTGTTCTTTGAGCCCAACCACAATTCATGTCATTATTCTGCCCGATCATTCTCCTCCTCCTCCTCCGATAATTTCTTCAGTTGGTCCCCATAACTACATCTAATATGCTATTTTCCTCTCTTCCTCAAACCAACCACAAAGTGTAGATGTTTTAAACTACAATAAAGTACAGGTAGATTGTTCCTTCTTTAATATTCTATTGTTTAACAAGTAATCGCACTCTCTTTTTCTTGTCTTGCTTAAGGTCAAACTTTGGGATTTTCTACCATATTTTTATGTGGCCATAGGGTCTTTCCATGTATTTGATGTTTTCATATCTGCCTCAGCTGAGTTTTCCCAGAAACCCACAATCACGTACCAACAATAGCCCCCAAACTGCAAAGTGCATGGAGCATTAGAACAAGGTTAAACTTCTGTGATCCAAATCAAGGGAAAAGTGACAGAACATGTCACTATCACATAGGATCACCTATACGTCTTTTTTGGCCATTATTTATTGGCTTACTAATTATTTATTAGATAGGTTTGTCATTAAATACTCTCTGGATAATAGGAAGATAGATTACCATAAGAAAACTAATAAATAAAGGCATTAGTCAATATCTTCAGCATTCCATTAGCAATAATGCATTTTGTAGGTTTTATAGTTATTGAACAAAGAATAATCACCATCCTATTTGCAAACTAGAACTCAACTTCCAAAATGGAAATTAGAATGATGATCACTTCCCTGGAGCCTGGGAGCACCAGACACTATTTAGGTTTTCACAAATGGTAGTTACGTTTATTTCCCACAACTAATACTCATTAGAATGAAAGCTTTTCTATTTCAACATGTGCCATTTAAACCTGCTTCTAAAAACAACACATTATCGCTTTTATGTTGTTCATCAACATCAGCGAATCACAAGCCTTCCTTGTTGCTTTCTCTCCGTCTTTAGTGCGGCTATTTGCATCTCTGATCTCTGGGAAATTACAAGAAGCATTCCCTTTATGTCGGATTTTTATTTCTTCCTTTCTTTTGGATTTGCAATTAAGAGTCTGGTTTCTCCTGACATGAAAGCCTATATTCTTCTAGAGAGACTATTATTTTGTCAACTGACAGTTTCGTTAATAAGTAGAATTACCATCTGCCATGTTGCATCTTAAATTATCCAGTAATTGCATGTATATTAGTTTTCAATTTGGGGAATTAATCTCTTGAAAAGATACTCCCCTCCTCTATTGGAGTCAGATAGAGTTACAGGTGTATTTCGACAGAATTAGATTTGTAAGTCCACTTTGCTGTTTTGTCCCTGCCACACTGTAATCCGAAGGTAAAATTTCACAGTCCTTTCTAGGAATACTCCCTTCTTTAATGCTGAGCTCAGTATATAAACGATTGTGCTTTTATCCTAATTGCTTTCTCGTATAGGATATGATTTTTGAAAGACGAAAAGAAGTAACATTTTGTTTTCTAGACACTTGGTTAAAAAAGAAGAGTCAGCGGAAAGCTTTTGGATGTATTTTAAAGGGAAAAGCATAGCCTGGCTCTTATTATGAACTAGAAAGGAGGATTTGGGGGTATCTCAGCAGTCACCCCGCTTTAACGCTGTTGTGAAGAATGAAAGGCACACACCTCCATAAATGTTAAAGCGCTGTCTTTATTCCGCCTGCCAAAACTGTTTAAGAAAAATATGTATCTTTGGCTGAAAATTCCAATTACAAACAAGTTCAGAATTCTCTTAAGGAAAACAGTATTTTTTTCTTCTTTGAACAGATTCCTTTTCATGTAATTTTCATTCAGCCA